TAAAAAGAGGATTGCAGAAAATTGAAGGCAATCTATTTAGTCAACTACACATTATAGCTGGAAAATTAAAACAACTTGCAAATGATTCTTAACAGTAGGAGAGCACTATTCCAATCTACACTATACCTGCAAATTAATGTGGAGGAGGCAGAGCCAGCTGAAAAACAGAGACGTGTCTAAGCTGCAAACACCAGGAAATGCAAAATGCCAGGACAGCTTTTGTTTCAGTCAGTTCTGCAAGCCATTGTACACAGTCACACACAATCATCTCTCTGACTGAAATTCAGATGTCGCCCTACTTAATGTAATCTTTGTCCCCCCTGGTTCAGATCAGTAATTTTTAATAACCCTAAGTCAACACTTATAGAATTCCTGAAGGGTCGAGAGGAATATTTTGCTCGCTCAGGTGTGACACAACACATTTTCTCATTTACCATAATAGATTGCTTAACCATGTATCGTTGCTCCACATTGTATCATGTAAGAGAATCACTAATGTGCAGCTTGCATAATAGAAGCCAAAAACAAAGGTGAGAGAATCGGGGACAGCCTCACCATTTCCTAGGGTCGGACCCCAAGAGTAATAAATAGTTAACCTGGCTGGCAGTACATGACAATGCATATGAATGGACATTGGTGTTAATCTGACCACTATGATCTCTTTCCCACTATAGCCCACGATGATACATGTATATTGCATGGCTTATTTCTTCTGTATGAAGAATTAGTAGTTATACCAGTTGCTGGCCTGAGGCCTAGCATTTCAAGGAAAAACTACACGTGACATGCAATTTCCCCGCTTATGTTCTTAACAGAAAGTTGTTGTGTGAAGTGCCATTTTCTTAGAAGGCCCATGAGGTGGTCTCTTTTCTTCAACCCACCCTATTTAACTATCAGCTGCTTTTTTCCCCAATAGGGGAGGAGATTAAATTCTCTCCCTCCCCCTGTTAAGCGTAAATTTTGGCAGAAAATGAGCCAGAGGAAAGGGTTAAAAGTCTTCCCCTTCTCCATATCTGCATCACATTGTTCCTACAGAGTCACAGAATGAAAGGATGGAAATGTCTCCCTTTCAGAAAGTTACAAAAAATTATATATTACAATATGAAACAAGATTCCACAGTAAACACCCACTA